GCGCCACAGCAGGCGCAGCAGGCGGCACTGGAAGAAGTATGAGGGGCGCCTGAAGCGGTAGTCGCTGACGAGGCCGTCAAGGTCGAGCGCCAGCTCAGCGTTGGCGCGGTTGCCGTCCAACACCAAGGCCTGGGGGGGGGGGACAGACAGCGACGGGAACGCCAGGGTGTCATAGCGTGGGGGTGGGTGCCATGGGGAGGGGCGGGGTCAAAGTGAGATGGGGGCGTTAGAGCAGGCCGAGGGGCCGCAACGGCATTGAGAGTGGGCTGGTGGCGTGCGGGATGTAGGCCGGGGCCAGGTACGGGCGGGTGCACAGGGATTGGTCTCTGAGTGCGTGCGTATGGTGGTCCTACAAAGGAAGCAGGCTAGGCAGGCTTCAAAGTGCCCCGCGTCTCCCGCAGCACGCGAGGCAGGCTCGGGCCCATGCCAACTGACCGGCCTGGGGCATTCGCTGGCCAATCGCAATCCATGCAAGCGCCATGCGCGCGCATGCGCGCCTTTAGGTCTGGGTAGGGTGGGCAGCGTAGTGTGGGGGCCGGCCAGAGCCGCGCCGCCAGGATATGCCAAAACACCTCCGAATCGACGCTGGTCCGCANAGAACCTGCATGTCTGCAAATGATCCGCACGGCCACACTGAGGGAAGAGTCCAGCTGAGCACAACAGCAGTGCTGTGCATGGCCCACAGCGCGGTGACAGCACGTGCAGGTGCACATGGGGCCGAGGCTTTGCAGGGCAACAGGCGTATGTCGAACCACGGGTGCGTAACCGATAGCGCACCTTGATTAGATTTAGCGCCTGTATGGGTGTCAGGGCACGTGCAAGTGCCAAGATCGGCAAGTCCAGGAAGGTGGTCGGCTGATCCATGTGGCTTCGAATGGGACCTACAGATTTATCTTAATAAACAGAAGTACGACAACTACCTTGCAGTCGTAGTCGGCCGTCACCGTATCACAGGGGAGTGTATACGTTGCTGTCCCTCACAAAGGGGCTAGGTCTGCAAACAGCAGACTGCTCGGAGACGCTAGCCAAGGCCAAGGTGAGGCCGCGCATGCATGGGGGGCTTGGCTGGTCTGGCGCCCTGCGTGCTGCGCTGTCGCACTCCACTGCAGCAGTTGTTGTGCGCACCACCGAAGTTGCAGTTGCTGGCCAGCAATAATTGTGTGTGAGGCTGCCATTTCTGCCAGGTGCTATGGAATTTGCCACTCAGGAGGACCTGCAGCGCTTTTTGGCAAGCGTCAAGGCAGGGTATGGGAGGTATGCTGCGGAACTGTGGCGCCGCGACGTGACGACAACGTTGGAGCTGGCAGCTGCCAGCATCGAGGACCTGGAAGCCGCTGGCGTTGCCCGGCTCCACGCAAACGCTATCAAGTTAAAGGCCTCCCAGGCAGAAGACGGTAAGGCTGCTTTTTGGAGTGAAATGGTGCTCTGCAGACACTGCTTTCATGCCAAGAGGCTTCGCGGGCGGCTCACTGCAGCAACGGTACTTTATCCAATTCTGTTGTTCGTGCTCCCTCTTCTTGATTGCACCTTCGCGGCTCTCGCCTGCGCATCATTCACGACACAGCAGCAGCAGGTGATTTTGTCGGGCATGTTTGCACTCTGCCGATGTTGTACCGCCTGCGCTACCTACGGGTTGTATGCCCGCATGCTTTGAATGAAAGTGTTGCCGCTTTCCAGCGGGCAGCTGATTGGCAGCCTGACCTCCAGCACCTTTGCTGCCCTTTACCATTCTACATGGCCATCAACTGATCTGTCAATGCTGTCCAGGTGCAGGACCGCCAGCAGGAGGCGTGCTGGTTGCCACGGATGTTACTGGGAGGGGTTCTCGCTCTTTTGGGGGGGAGGGGGGGGGAGCCCGAGCCATGGCATGCTCTGGTGGTCCCGGAGCAGTAGGCAGACAGTGGTGCTGCGTGCCTCGTGTTGTGTCCTCGGTCTTGCTTGACCTTCCGTTTTACGCTCTTCCCCTGCACCGCGGCTCCCGCCTGCTTCTTCCAACATCCCACAGCAGCAGCAGTGCATCTTGCAATCGATTCCGATATCTAGCCGGGGCTCAGGCTTCATTGGGGTTGGCCTCAGCAGACATTGCTGTGGGGTGTGGAGGGGTTTGATGGTCAGTGCTGATTCTGGTTGAAACCCAGCTGCACCTTGCAAGCACCTTGACGCTCTGCTTTGCGCCCTCCCGCGCCCTCCCCCTGCACGCTCCGTGGCTTCTGCGTGGGCTTCGTCCGACGTCCCACAGCAGCAGGAGGTGGGTAACACGTGCTTCTGCAATGGTGCTTGCGGCGATTTGCCCACCCTTCAACACATGCTCATCCGTCCCCTGCAGGTATGCCATGCTGCTTGCTCTCCCCCTCCGCCCCATTACGCTGTTGACCTCTACTGCTTGTTGACCTCCCGCTTATGTGCTGCCTTTCGCCATTCTTCCGCACAGCCGTCAACCGATCTGTCTCTCCTGTTCATCACGTGCAGGTGCAGCAGGAGCGGCGGCAGGTGAGGCGCCTTGCAAGGTGTCATTGGGTGGGGCTCGGGCTTCATGGGGTCACCACCGCAGCCGTCGCTGGCCTTGGTGGAGGGGGACAATGGTCAGGGTTGAAAACCAGTTGCACGTGGGCTCGTTACGTTGTGGCGCCCGTCACATTGACGTTGAACTTTGTTGCTGACAGCTGAGTGTTGTTCACCCCAAATACAGATGGGGGACCCAAATATGCACAGGCGTGCCTGCCTAAATCTCTGATATGACATGCAATATTTGCCGGTGCAGCTGTGTGATCTCATCGCAGCTGCTCTTTTGAGTCCTGTGGTAACGTGCTCAAGCACCTGACAGCAGTTTGGGGCTGCCTGCCTTGAATGGCCCGGCAGATGCTGCTCGCATGTCGCCGCCTTTCATCACCCCCCGTGCCCTTGCTTTTCCTCTCGCCGTTGAATCCTTTGTAAAGTCTTGTATCATAAATGTCGCACAAACCTCTCATTGTTGGCCGAGTGCCCTGCCCCTGCCTTTGTGCATACGCTAGCAAGTGGCATTGGTTTATGTTTGAGTGCGCAGCACAATAATGCTCCTCTGCTTTCTCAATTCCTGCCTGCCTGCACTCCAGGTCCCTACCCCATCCGGCAGCTCACCAAGACCAGAGCCCCGGCCGCTTGGCAGACCCGGGTTGACAGCTCCGGCACCGTCCAACGTCTCTACGCAGAGTGCACGGTGGTGGGGTGGCCTCTGGTGCCTGACACGAAGCAGGACATCTCATCATACCTCACTGACAAGTGCGGGGACATGTCGCTCTCATACAACCCCCTCAGCTCAGACTGGGAAGTGGGCAAGCTGCTGCGATGCAAGGCCAACTGCAACTCTATGTGAGGACTTGGCATGACCATGTGCTATGTGCACTGAGTGTTTCACATCATTCTGCCTCATGCAAGGCCTACTTTCCCACGTCCGGGTGCACGTGCACGGCGAGCTGCGCCGCCGCCGTCGCGTGCAGCCTCAGCGGCTGCAGCAGGGGCGCCTGCCCCTGCGGGTGCTGCTTGCAACGTCTCGGTTATGGGTTTGTGGCTGTGGGCTTGGTTCTACAGCACATGCGTTTTGCATATGGGGGATGTGCTAAGCCCCGTTCTCTGCTCCTTCAGGTTTGTCAGCTGCTTCGGCAAGCCGATCGCCCGCATGTACACGGGCGTTGTCGGCAAGGCCACCTTCTTCTTTGAGTAGCTGCGGGGGGACCAGTCGAAGGGCGTGCCAGACTTTGCGTTCTGCGACAGCTCCACGGACAGGGTGCTCCTGCTGGGAGAGGGCAAGGTGCAGGCAGTTGTTGAGCCTGCAGCAACGAGTGTCATACGCCATGTGGTTGATGGCCCTGGCATAGTCTGCACGGCATCATTACCGCAGCTGCACACGCGTGCCTTTGTTGCTGTGCTTGCCTTGTGCTGCATGAAGTGCTTCGACAGGTGTCGTTGGCCAGCATGTGCACTCACCTTGATGGCACAACCACACACGTTCCCTGCTTTTTCCTTGTATGCAACCATCTAACCGTAGACGCCCAAGGTGCTCAAGTGTACATCATCGATCACGGATGCCATTGAGGCTGGCGACGCCGCGGCCTGGAGCTGCGCCCAGCAAGTATGCGAGTACATGAGGGGCCGGGTGAGCGCAAATGTCATCAAAACAGTTGGCAAGAATGCTGGGCCTGAGTTGGGGTGCCATGTTGGTGCGCACGCGCTTGTGCTTGTGCAAGAGGACACCAAGACACATATAATTGCGCAGGACATGAGGTACGGGTTTCTTACGTACCTGAACGGGACCTTCTTCATCAAGCGGGTGGGGCAGGACGAATACGCCTTTACTGATGCCATCCAGGCCGACGGCGAGGACCTCACCCTCCTGGAGATGCTTCTGTGTGAGCAGGGGTGGAACTGCAGCTGTGAGCTGAATGAAGCGACACTGGGATCTCAACCGGCCTCGGCAAATGCCCTCCTGTTACAATTGTGATCACGATGTGATAGGGTATCATTTGGTCCAGCTTGGCAGAGAGGGCACCAGCCAGGCAATGTGGGTTTCTTAGTACCCTCATCATCATCATTGCTACCTTGTCCCATAGCATTGCTGCCATTGGCCACAATGCCTTGTGGCGGAAGTGGTGTGTGCGGCGGAAGTGCCCTGCACTGCAAAACCATGCCAGCCATTCATTGATCCAGAACTGCAACTGATTTCTGCGCGCCTGCACACCTGTGTGCAAATGCGCAGATGTGCTGCTGAAACAGGAGGAGGAAGGCCCTTGGGCGAGCGCCACGGAGGGTACTGGCACACTGGACGGTGGTCCCGCTGGCCTCCCAGCTGCAGCAGCCTCAGCCTCCAGCACTGCGCAGTGGAACCTCTCTCCAAGCAACATGTCTCCAAGCAGAGCTGGCGACGAGTACACAGCAGACGGCAGATGCGCCGGTGCTGATCTGCAGACCGACAGCTATGAGCAGCAGCATACCAAGTCAGCTCTGGTGGTGGCTGACAAGTGCTTGGGATGGGGCAAGTGCGGCAGCATCCTCGCGGGCAGGTGACTATCATGGGTGACGCACATGGTAGCTTGCAGGCTGCTGCAGCTTGGCAAAGGCTTCAATGCAGCGTGAACAAGTGCATGTTTTTGGTTTGCCCTGACACTGGGTCACTCATGTGCCATGATAGCTGCCTACCCCACCGCTGCCTCATGCCACCCTAGCTACCTGGGAGTGTGTGGACTTGGGAAACCCCCCGCTTCTCCCCTTGCAGGTTTTACGGGCGGCCGGCCGCAATCAAGGCTGTGGATGTGTCCAAGCAGAGCCACTTGATTCCCAAGATGCAGGCGGAGGTGGCAATTTATGGTATGGGACCCCAGTTGGGAGCATGCTGTTGCAAGCGCTCTGTGCAGGAGTGTGCCTGGCCACAATGCATTGTCCACGTGTGGACGCGCTTCCAAGCGGCCATGCCCACAGGACACAGCAAAGCAGCCATTGCCCTGCCGCCCATTCGAGCTGCCGCAGTGCAACACTCACCAGGCGCAGTTGCTGGGATGACCCCGGGGGGCATTGAGACGAGCTTCCCCTTTCTGGCTCAACCGACTGCGCAGACCGCCTGAGACCACTCCAGGGCGTCTGCATTCCTGTCCTGTATGGCTGCGGCTTCTGGGACGAGGGGCGCACCTATTTTGTGGCCACCTCAATCATAGAGGGCCGGCATCCAGGCTGCGACATGTATGGCGGGGCCAATGCTGCAGAGCAGGTGGGCACGCGGGCATGGACTTCAAGCTTTTTGCGCTTGTGTAGCTCAAATACTGCACCAGGAGCTCTCAGGGGAATCTTGCGTGTGATGTTATGTAGTACCCGTCTCTCCTGAAACCTTGACCGTCAGTTGGATCTTCTGCTCTAAGCATGGACTCAAGGTTGCATCCCTGTGCCCTCTTGGCAGGCATTGCGGGAAGTTCACGCCCGGGGTGTTCTCCACGGTGACATCAGTGCGCGGAACATCTTAATGGCAATCGAGGACGGTCACTGGAAGGTCAGTCTCCCTTGCGTTAGTATCGGGGGGGCGTGCGAGGCTCGAAGATTTAGGCCTGGCCCGCCTTTCAATTCAGCTGTGCTGTGGGGATTGGGCAAACTACATGCCCTTTGGATAGAGGCGCGAGCCCCACCCTCAGGCTCCTACGCCTGTTCATTACTGCGCATTGATGAAGTTGGCGGGCCTGAAAGTTGCAGGCACGCCTGCCAGTCCATCCCCTCTCAGCTGCAATCACCCCATGACGTGGCTTTCAAACCATGCGGTGAATCGCCCTTGCACACAGGCATGCCTGATTGATTTTGACTTCAGCGAGGAGTCAAGCGACCCAAACGCCCAGGCTGCGGAGCTGGAAGAACTGCGCGCACTGTTCCGGCGCTCTGACGCAGACACAAGCCCGACCAGTGGTATGTAATGACACTGTTCTTGACAAACAGCATGCCGGTGCCGCTGTTTGAGAACTCAAGCTGGCCGCCCTTTCGGCGCCTGCGCCTCGCAGAGATGGCCTGTTCTCACCTGCTCCCACTCTCTCAAGCACCAGACCAGTGGTAAGTAGCGGAGGTTCCGCGGCCACAGGTGGGGAACTGGGGATAACACAGAGACCTGCAGGGCGCGGGTTCGGTGTTTGAGGAGGGGCATCGCAGCGTCGTCGTGGTTGCTGGAACGCACCCTGAACATCCAACGCGTGGAATTCCCCTTCCCATGCAACCCTTGGCAGATGCCAGCACCTGCTGTGCTTGCAGCTGACCCCTGCTATGACCCCTCCGTTCTGCACCCGTCCCCGAGCAGTAGCTTCAGACACTGGCTCTCCTGGCAGCACCAGCAGCTCTTGCAGCCTTGATGTGCACCTAAGTTGCCTCAAGCCACCATTTTCCCAATTCTTGTCCACCCCTGCCCTTGTCGCAGCTGACCCTTGTCTTCCCTCCCCTGGCCCACGTGCCCTTCTCCAGCAGGCAGTGGCAGCCCCAGCAGCCCCAGCAGGGCCAGCAGCGCGGATCAGCCTTGCGTGCCGTCCCTGAAGCACATGCCACTCAGCGGGCTGCGCTGCACCGCAGATGGGGGGCCGTGCGCGGCGGCGGCCATGGACGAAGCCACGTGCAACTGGGGGGCAGGTGTGCGGGTGAAATCACAACTAGTTTGGCTGCGGTTTTAATTGCAAGTTTAATAACGTGCATCGTGGGTAGTACAGAGTATGACATTAAATCCAACCTTTCATACAAAGCAGGGTGGGGACACAATGCTGCAACCTAGGCCCGCCATTCTCCGTGTGCTACGGCACTGCAGCACTTCAATCTTGAGTGGCGCCCTCACTTTGTCGGCGCCATTGTTTGCAAACCGTGCTGCAAATCATTTACCCTCTCCTCAGGCCAGTACGGTGCTTTGGGCCATGACGGGTATGTGGACGAAGTACGAGGCAAGGTCTACCAACATCAAGGCGCTTGGCCAGGAGAAAGAGAAGGTGTGGACGCTTGACCTGGTTTCGACAGAGGTTGACAAGCAAAGGCGGCCGGCATCCAACGCCATCTTGACCGCACCTGACATGTGTTCTGGGTCTGGACCAAGGCTGACCGCCATGTGTGGCATGTCGAGCGACGCATGGTTGATCAATGTTGACTGCCAGCAAATGCACAGGTTTGGCTTTTGCTCCGAATCTGGCTTCGCGTCTGCAAATTGCACGGGGGCGCGGGCGCCTGGGGGCGGGGCAGGACGTCTGCTTTGGGGTCTGGGGGACGTGAATGGAGCCAAGGGGTGGGCAATCAGGCTTGCAGTGCATGTGTTGGTGTGGCCGGCAATGCAGTAAGCCCCATGACCCCGTGACCCCAACTCAAAACCGGAGCTCCAGAACCCAGGTTGCAACTCATTGGCCGAATGCTATGCGCACTCCAGCAGCTGAACCACCCAGCTGCGCAACCACCCAGTGACACAGTGTATGCGATGACGCTTACACACGTGCCTCCACCCCAAAGCACCTTTACCTGGGCACTTGAAGCCAACAGGCCTACATTCATCCTGCATGCCTCCCAGTCCTTGTTTTCACCTTTTGCATATCTCCCTTCCCCTAAAGTAGGAGGGCATCGCCCCACCTCCCTCCCTCTCCCCCATCATCACTCCTCTCGTCATGCAGCCTCCCGCCCTCATCCCCCATCTCCAGCAAGGTGTGTTTAATCTACATCCTCAACGTCCTGCTCTAAGGCGGGGGCGCCTGCAGCGTGGCTGCGAACGAGGTGCCGTGGCTGTGCCTCATCTTCCGCCAGGAGCGCATGCAGCTGTGATGACAAGGTTGTATCTCCACAACCCTCATGGGGAGCAATATGTGGGTGAAGAAGCTGCATGGTGGGGGCCCGTTAGTTGCTAGCATTTGTGTTTTGTAAACCTGCAAGCAAGAGCGCCGGGTTGCGGCTAGACAGGACGTTGACCTGCAGGCCTGCAGCCCCCGTGGCGGGGCGGGGCTGCCTTCTGCGCTGTCAACTCGGGCAAACACCATGGGCTGCTGGCCAGCAGCTGCTCTCCCCCCTCAACCCCCTGACTGCCAGCTGCTGGTCTTCATTCGCCCATTGCAGTCAAGGCCCCGCCTTGCTGCCCTGCTGCTCCATGGGCAGTGACTTCCAGCTAAGGGGTACCAGCAGCGGCTGCCGCGGCATGCCGTTCCTGCGAAGGGGAAAAATCGGTGTTGACAAGGGGTGGGTGACGTGTGGATGATGTCACGATTGTCTGCATTGCTGCCGTGTTGGTTTACGAAGTTGGTTATGGACATTGATGTGCTATTCGCTTGACACTCTAAGCGTCTTTACAACCTGTTGCCCAATCCACATCAGCGCCAGTAGCACCGTCCTTTGCAAACATGCACCTGCACACGATTCTGTTCCATTCGGATGCTAGCACCCTGTGCTGGTTGTGCGCGCAGCCCACCTCCCTGCCAGAATGCGGGTTGCAGGGCTGACCTTCGTATCACAGCGAATTGGGTGTGCTCAGCAGCAAACTCTGTGCATAAGGCAGCTGTGCGGTCCCATCAAACGGGCGAGCGGCGCACACCAGCCCGCCTGAACATGTGCGCCAGGCTTGCCTTGTTTTCAGCCAGCTTGCTGACTGGAAATCGGTGTGCTACGGCTGTAACGCACCGATGCGTCGAGTGTGCATTCAAGGGGATGCATCACCAGCATCTCACACTTCTTTGCACCTTTGCACCGGCTGTGTGGGTGTGCATCAAAGCGTCCTCGCATGTCAGAGTCAGCTGCCTTGCTCGTTCGATTGCAGTACGATCAAATACAAGGCAACCGACGTCGCTTATGCTTCAAAACTCTCTGTATCAATTGACTGCTTACTGTGACGCACTGCTGCATGTTCCCGCCCTGCCGCACCCTGTGGTAAAGGCGACTTGCCTGCCCACCTGGCGGCACGCATGGCGCAAGTCCACACGGCCATCCGTCTCAAGCTGTAATCTGAATACAACAGGCCAGCCTCTTGCCTCGTCACCCACCGATTCCGNTGCCAATCCACGCACACATGCAAACGCGGGTCACACATACCACCCGCGCTCAAACAGCGCCCGCGGCACGGCGCCCGCCCACCGCGCCCGTCCCGCCTCGCTACCTTCGGCCGACAGGGCGGCCTCGGCAGACCCCAGCACGTCATACCCTGCACACCGGGGCGACCGCATCCACGCGTCCTGCACACTCTGCCCGGGCGCGACCTCCAGCAGAGGCACCAGTGTGTAATCCACCCACTCCTCAGCACCAGGCGTCACCCCAATCTGCTCAAGCCGGTTCGCATAACAGAACAGCAGCACGCGGCGCCGCTGCGGCCGCGCATGGGCGCCGCGGCCGCCGGCCGCCCCGCCCGGGACCATCACTGGCGCCCTGCCTGGCTCGCAGTCGTCCCCACTGCCCTGTAACAGGGCCTCAATTTGATTGACCTTCTCCCAGCCCCAGGTCAGGGCGCCCGCGAAGCGGCCGGGCGGCCGCCCGTTGCCGCCGGCCGCCGGCTCGAAGCCGTCGGCGCGGAACGCGGCGAAGGGCCGACCGTAAGCGCGGCGCAGCAGCGGCGGCTGCGGCACGTTCGGCGCGTCCATCCGGCCCGGCGCGTCGCCGCCGGGCGCGGCGGGGCCGGCTCCGGCCCCGGCGGCTTCCGCGGCGTGCGCCGCCGCGGCTGCGCCCGCCCTCTCTGCCGCTTCTGCCGCTGCTTCTGCCGCCGCTGCTTCTGCTGCCGCTTGCTCATCCAACTGCAGCTGTGCCTGCTCATGCTGCTGCTGAGATGCTGATAAGTCCAAAGCCAGTGACAGCTGTCGCATCAGCGTTGCCACCAAGCGCACCTGCTCCGCATGCTCATCTGTTTGTTGCACCCGCTGCTGCAACTGCGCGTCGTAACTTGCCAGCACAGCTAGCAGCGCTTGCTGATCCTCCCGTTGCTGCTGCTGCTGCTGCTGCTGCTGCTGCTGCTGCTGCTGCTGCTGCTGCTGCTGCTGTGCACCCTCTGCCAAGCCGACCCCGGCACTGCGGCCCCCAGCCGCCGCCCCGAGCGCTCCGTCCCCTCCTGCCAACGCCGTCCCGGCACCCGGGCGCTCCCGCGCGGCCAGCTGCGCGTGAAGCCGCTGCAGTGCCGGCAGCTGCGCCTCAACGCTCTGCACTCGCCACGCCATGTCTTCCGATGCAACCCAATCGAAGTACGCGTCGCCGAAGATAACGTACGGCGCCAGGTGCTGCGCCCCGCGGCGCTCGAGCAGCGCACGCAGC